GTATGTATACAGTGTGTCTGAAACACGAGGACTCAAGAGTGGTGGTAGATTGAGTCAGACTAACAGATGAAAAGTCATGTACCATTTTACAAAATTCGCAATAGTTATCAAATAATTTATTGAAACGTCTGCGCGAATGAGTGCATAGAGAGTGGTAGGCCGGGCTCCGAATGTATGCTAGGGGCGGGCTCGAGCGGTAAGCCCTGTTCTTTTCCAACATGGAGTTTGTTTACGCCGCGCTTTGCTCCACCTCTCGCTCACCGTTGCTAGTAGATCTGGTATACAAAGCTATCTAACATGCATTCCAAGCCCGGTCTACCGCTCTCTACGCGTTCATTCGCTCAGACGTTTAAATTAATTATTCGACAACTATCGCGAATTTAAAAAGTGGTACATGACTTTTCTTCTTAGTCTAACTCAAACTACTTTCGTATAAAATATATTTTTAAAAATTAATATATAGAAAATGCATGGATATATTCTTTAAGAGTTGTTTTCTATTCTTCAATTATTTGAAACATACTTATATATATATGTAAACATGTATTTCAAATATTATATAACCTAGACAACACAGAACATTCCAACAACATTGCTGCGATGTAGTAATGCTCTCTGTTTGATGAGAATTTATGTGTACTTAGAAGAAATTGATTGCAATATCTTTATAATGAGTGTAGAAATTATACTGTTTCTATAAAATTTTTCTACTGTTGTGTAAATGAAACATTAGTCACGGAAAATGTTGTTTTCTTATGTATATAATTTCTAATAATGATATAGGATCGTGTCAGAAGAGAAATCAATACTGTTATGCAAGAGAATCAGGGAAAACTTACTATGAAATCGCTGCAAGATCTACCATATTTAGAGAGATGCATAAAAGAAGCGTTGCGTTTATACCCTAGTGTTTACTTCATTTCACGAGTTACGAATGAAGAAGTACAATTAAGTATGTAACTGATTAATTCATTCCTGATTAGACATATATTATTAAATTTATTACAATAAATTTATATTTTAAAAGTAACCTTATTTTTCTTATTTTCATAAATACGACGAAAATTTTTTGAAGCAAAATTAACTGTTAATTAAATGCTATTATAATTTATAATACAAAACATTTTTAATGTTTTTATGAGATCAATGAATGAAGATTATTGTAAGAATTTTCCAATTATGCTAATTAATGTATTCAATTTATGTTGCATCACATAGATGTTTACTTTGTAAATTTTAACGAAGTTTTTGATGATTATTTGTTCATTACATTTTTATAAAATATTTTTCAGAATCATATTTGATACCTGCTGGAACAGTGGTGCAACTTAATATTTATGGCGTTCATAGAGATCCTAATTTTTGGCCAAATCCTGAAGTATTTGATCCGGATAGATTTTTACCTGAAAACATTAGAAATCGTCATCCTTACTCGTACATACCATTTAGTGCTGGACCACGTAATTGTATCGGTAAGCTATTTCTCTCGATATTCTTTTATATGATCAGTTTGAAATACATTAAATTGTAGGCCAACGATTTGCTATGCTGGAGATGAAGGCAATGATGTCCCATCTAATACACAATTTCTATCTGGAACCTGTTGATTATTTAAAAGACCTTGTTATAAAAGGTGATTTGGTAATGCGATCTTCTAATCCGATGCGTGTAAAATTTATTCCAGTCGCCTCAAAATAGACATTTGAAGAGAATTTGAATGTTAAGAACTTAATGTCGAATACGTTGCAAAAATAAGAAAATTATTATATGTGGACAGTAATGGACAGAATGGCTGCAACACTTTTGTCTTAATGAGTTTAGGAATGCGTGTTTATAGTCGGGTTTCAAAATCTTTTCCGAGGAGTATTTTACTCGATGGCAATTCCAAAACCATTTTGAGCGTTTCTGATTTATTTGTCGTATAAATTTTTTCTGAGAGAAAATGTATCTATAATATATCTATCTTACATATTTTATATAATAGTTTTAAAATAAATAAATAAATATTTTTCACGTAGTAATATTTAGTGTCTGCTAGAATAGTTGTACATTTGAATATCTAAAAACTCCATAAAGATAAAAATTTTTAGCCAAATTCAAAAACATTTGATCTAGATTGATTTGCCTTAAAAGATTCAAATTGACATCCTTACTCATATTTACAATTGTATTATAATTGAGACAATTTCAAAACCTGGTTTCGGCGTCGAGCTGTTCTTAAATAAATCTCTGAAGAGTGATTGAATTGATGACGCAAACTATATTAGTCAGCTAGGACTTATGATAATTTCATTGAGAGTTTGCGAGGACTCGGAACTGATATGCGAGTCAGCTAGGACTGAGAAATTGAGAGGCAAATCAGCTAAGATTCAAACTGTTGACGAGCGTAGACTCAAATAAACTATAAGATAAGTCAGTCAAGGCTCATAACAAAAGGCGAGTCAGCCGAGACTCGTAGCAAATAAAATTGTAAGAAGAGTCAGCGAGGACTCAACTGAACGTCGAGACAGCAAGGACTCAGAATTCGAGAGAGACAGCTAGGACTCACAGCTAGGCCTTACCGCTTATCCTGACAACGGTCGTAGAAAGTTTGCAAGTGGCGAATCAAAACTTCCCTGCGAATCCTTTAAAGTCCAATTATAGCCTCCTGAGAATTATTGTCTGCCCTCGACCTTCTTCTATCTCGAATTTTAACTCGAGCTCTTACCAAAAAAGTAAGAAGAAACCTTATTTCATACTTGAAAAAGACCTCAAGTGACACTTTTTTATATCTAGAATCTAAATAACTCTAAAGAACTCGTTGCCAAGTCAACGAAATAAACTCTCTTTCCTTGCTTTCTTGATCGAACTCCATCGATTCTTTCTAGGACTTGCGATTTGCGTCGGTAACGTCAACTATTTTCATAACAACCATTCTCTATTGGACCATAAACCGTGTCGATCAGTTGTGGTTTTCGATATCTTCTTATATGAACTGTTTCAGATATACATATAACAAGGTGTAGGCAAACTGTTCGCTTTGCTGGGGATGAAAGCAATAATAGCCTCTCTAGTATATAATTTCCACTTAGAGCTTATTTACTATTTGAAATTTTTTCGGATAGAAATTAATTTGGTGTTGCGCCCTACTTATCCACTTTGTTTAAAGATTTGTCCCTATTATAAAATACATGTAGCTCTTTGAAGCAAATGTACGTGTTTCAAGGACGTAAAAGACGACAGCGTAGCAAAATTAAACAATTAAGTGTTAAACAACGTTATAAATGGTTTTATAAATATATATACCAATGCGCTTGCATAAAATAAATAATAAAGATTGAATCAAGCAAAGTTATGTTGTTGTATGCTATGTTACATGTGATATTTGTTGAAATAAGTTGCACTCCGTACATTTTTCAAAAAAAAAAGATGGTTGGACTTTCAATTAGTCGGTATGATAAACTACACGTTAAAATAAATTATTCTACGAAATAAACATATGGTATTTACGTGTTATTTATGCGTCTTTATATGAAAATTATTTCAACCTTTTCTTTCCTACTTATAAAACCGTATACATGTTATTATCAGGTAAGACTGGATATCGTTGCTTTACAAATGAATCAATATTTGTGCTGACTTGACTGTCGAAAAATACACGAAGAAAATGACGAAAAGCTGTACTAATAAATTTATAGAAATGTATAATATCTAGAAATCATTATCATTTTTGTAAGTTGTTTTATGCTAATGCGAAGGTGATCTACTTACGATTTATTAATTATTACAAAAAACTGATCGATCTCGATTTAACACAAATAAAAGTTCACAGCTTATATAATAATGCACATTTTGTGCTGATTACAGTGTAGTTTTTCCTAGAGGGACACTCTTGAGATACGACATTACATACGCAATCGACAGCTGTCGTGACGAAGCCTTAGAAATTGGCGTCAATAAGTTTTCTATATATCATATAATATAAGAGTTGTTTCTTAAGTCGCTGACATCGACTTGTTGGACGATTCTTAATTTGCTGAAATTTCAGTCATCGAGGGTGTTATCGAGTCAGATATTTATTGATCTTTTTAAGAAACTAATCTATCGTACGATTTTACATCACTTAATTTGATAATTTCTTTAGCTTTTATTGCAGAACGAAATAAGCATTGACATATTGACCTGCATATGTAAGTCTACAAACGTGCTCTTCAAACATCTTGAATCACATATTATTGAACTACGCCATATCAAACATGGAATAAAGAAGTTAACTATTTCCATAATATTAATTTATATTCATAGAAGTTAAACTTTTAATTTAATTCAATGCTGACAATTGTTTCACCATTTGCCATTATATTTTTGGATATCTACATGTACTGATGTGTACTTCACCGTTATTTGAATATTAATGCGTAATTTGCAAAGGCAAGATAATATTGATTAAGAATTTCTCCTTTCGTTTCTTTTAACTCATGTGTTACTGTAGATGACCAAGTTAGATCCAAACGTGCAATTTTTATATTAATTGATAAACAAACATGAAAGTTTATAAACCCATCCAGAAAATAATTTATATTATTTAAATAAATGAGATACGTTCAAATCGTGTTTCTGTAAATCTACAATATTTTTATTTATTTCTACTAGTATAAATTAATCAAATACTTTCTAGAATTAAGATTTAAGAAACAATTCTTATAAATAAAATATTTGTTAGATTTAAAAAATAGATATTAAACCCTCTTAACGATTCCATTTTCAGTCAAATAAAATTTTGGTTGTAATAAAGAAGTCATTTCTTTAAAATAAAATAAAAGTAACATCAAAATTCAGCGAAAATGTGGTTGATTGAAAGAAACTTTTTCCGGGTGTACTGATATCTTTTAATGACTGAGGACTTATTTTTATAATTCGATTTATAAAAATGCATAAAATCAATTATTCCACATTTAATAGCACGAACAGGGTAGTTCATTACTTGATTTAGGTGAGACGCCCAAGATAGAACATATCTGTAGACGTAAATGTAAAGGTCAGTAAATCAATACTTACTTTGTTCTAAGATATTCAGAAATTGTTAAGAAATTTTATTACAAGCGATATTTTTTAATTTAAGCCTAAACTCTTCTCTTTAAATTATACAAACTATTTGATTAATATGTAATTTCTTTTGATTCAAAGTTCATCGTCAGCTGATACAAAGGTTGAAAATGTGAATATGTTACATGAATTTTTTATTGAGATTGGACTATTAAATGGCCGAGAAAAAGATTTACGCATATTTTATCTTAATAACTATTAATCCCTTTTATCTCAACGTACATTATTATCTGTGTTGCTCATAAGAATTGTGAGCATAAATAGAATAAATGTTGATATCAAAGGTTAAATTGATTTTTAATAATAAAAATAATCAATGACCTAAGGCCAATATTTTTATGAGCTAGAACCGATTTATTACCAACTTGCTATAAATTATAAAATTGTCACAATAACTATAGCCTAGAGAGACGCAACTAACTAAAAATTAGATTATAAATAATGACGAATAAATAAATAAATAAATTTTCAACGAAAAAAAATAATAATATAAATGACGTATAAATTGTCAACGAATAAAATTACAAAGTATAAATAAAGACGGACGTTTCGACTATACTTACATTAGTCATCCTCAGCGATAATATGATTTTTAATATTTCTTTGTTTAGATCTAAAAAGTTTCGATTCAGCTTGAGTGAGATGATAAAGTTCAACCAGACGATTATAAAACTTATGACGGGAACGAGTTAAAAGGAGAGTCATTGTAAGTGCTTCGTCATTTGTTGAGTGTAAGCGAGTGCTGAGAAAATATTAGTTTGCAACAAAATAACCCAATAACTCTATATAGTGTCGCGGACAAAAATCTTACAAGTTTCCTAGACTTTTCTTTTTTGAACGCTCGCGTAGAACGTTCTGTTTACAGATAGAACTACGACAGGGTAACGTGGCTAAGGGACACGTAGTTGCGGGCCTAGATACCATAGATTTGTAAATAAATAAATCTTCTCGCTTCTACTAGATTAAGTCCCAAATGGTGGGAGGCTCCAGCAGAGGAGGTTCTCGCCATTTTAGGGTATAAATAAAAGTCCCAAACGCCATAGGGCCAGAGAGGGAGAGAGAGAGGTGAGAGAAAGACAGATAATCCGACAAGCAGTTAATATTTGATACTCGGCGCACGTTTTTTAGAAATTCACCATTCAACATTCACTATTCGACACAAATAAAGGTTACAACACCGTAAAAAATCTTCCATATATTACCACGACTCCTATCGTGATCACCAGAAGTGTAGCAAACATAACCTCTATCTCCCTCTCTCTCAGAGAATAGCCACGATAAGTCATATAATGCCCAAAAAGGGAGGTATCCGAGTTCAACTAAAACGCCTCAAGTACCAAATTACGAAAGCATTAACATCTGGTCAAGACCCTACCTCCCTCTTCCTTCTAGTAAGCGAATTCGAATCTGGTTTCCCGTATAAAACACAAGTTCGGGAAAAATTTAACCTTGTTTTCATCCATTTTGTGATCAATTATCCAGATTATAAGAACATTCCAAAGTCAGATCCTCTTTGCGAGGTTCACAAAATGCGCTTTCTTTCCGGGCAGAGAATAAAATCTATTATCTTTACTATTTGTCATTATTAATTTTTGCAATGGAATTCAATCCCCGGTTAAGAACTTAACTCTGTTGATCGAAAAACGGACGTAACGAATGCTTTTATCAATCCGTGAAAATAGTAACAAAAATATTTATTGAGCATGATTACTGGTTTATTTAAACAGATTGTAAACTAATATTTTTCAATCACATAAGAATTACAAACATTCTGAAAACATTTAAGACAACAAATGTCTTACGACGTAAATAAATGTGATTAACAGGGAGAAAGACCAATTAAACATTTCTGTTAGGATTTACACAACTGTAATAAAATTCATATATACTTTTAATGGAAATCTAGAAAGAATACGTTTATTACTTTGTCATCTTTTTCATTAATGCATTTCAGCACATGCTTTATTTCTTAACCACCAATGTTTAGATAAATTTATCAAACGATGAGATTAATTAAAAACAAATATAAGATATTTTGTGATATGTGCAATCTCCAGTGGTTAAAGGATCACAGGACTGAACAGAACTAGACCTGATTAAAACTGTCATTACAAGAAGGATGTTTACTACATTGTTAGCACTCGGTGTCATTGTGTATTTGTTACTTTATTTTTACGTACAATATGGGCGAGATGGGCAACTTATCAATAATATACCAGGCCCATCAGGTTATCCAATTATTGGTCATATACACCTATTTGCATTTTCTTCATCAGGTAAGGTAAAATTCTTAATACATATCCATAAAGTATGTAATTCTACATTGTGCAACTATTAAGATTATTGCGTATTTGTTTATAACTATGATACAAAATATTCTCAAGAACATAAGTTTTTAAATATTCTATTATGATATTGATTTTCTTATCTGTTTCTAATATATCTGACAATGAGTGTTAAAACCGGCTGTAAATATTAATATGAAAAATATTAAGTAAAGTTGATTAATATGTTCTTTGTATGTATACTTGAAACACATGCTTTTTTTAGAGGAACTGTGGAAGACTTACGCGGAAATAACTGCCCAGTATTCTATTTTAAAAGTATGGGTATTCTTGTCGTCTGTGGTATCAATCCGCCATCCCGATGATCTGGAGGTAATAGAGAATATAACAAAAATTAAATTTTCTATATGTGTATTATTGACAAATTAAAAATTGAAATATTTTTCGTTTATTTAAAAAAATACTCACTAAACCGTTATTTTAAAGATAATAAAATAAGACATTTTAGATAAATAAATTAATAATCTGTATTATAATTTTTAAGTTAAACATAATTTTATTTAACATTTTCTAAAATTTTCTAGGTAATACTAAGTAGCACAAACTATATCGAGAAGAGTAAAATATATGATATAATACATCCTTGGTTGCAGACGGGTCTTCTCACTAGTGGAGGTAGCGTAATTATAATTATATGTATACATATAAGTGTTACAGAGTTCTTTATACCATATTATGCCCTTCTAACCATTACGATTTTAATTTAACCCTAGAATCCGACACGTCGAAAAGTTACGTAAACTCTAAACATGGGTAAATTTTACCCAGCGCATTTTCATTTGCTAATAACTCTCGGAAAAATGGTCGAAATTCAATGTTTTTTTTTAAATCGTTGTAGAAAACATCGAGGAAGATAATTATGCTAACAGTTTTGCGGTTAAATAAAGTTGAAGAAAATTATACTCAAAAAACAAAATACATGTTTCTTCAAAATTCGCTTTTCTCTAAAAAATTAATAACTTTTTAACTATAACAGATAAAGCAATGAGGCAAACGCGATTTTAAAGAAGAAGGTTAATTCTTTGAGAAAATCTAGGAGCAGATCGCTGGTTATTAAAAAGACTATATTTTTTACAAAAGGAAAATAGGTCTGTTCGAACAAGATATGGATGGGACTTTTTATGGGTTTATTTACTTAATAACTCTATTTTCCTTTTCAAAATTATTTTATTATAAGAAAATGTATTATTATGTATTATTTGTTATTTATAAATAATGTCACTTCTATTGCATAATGTATATAATAAATATACTTATTTGATACAATTATAACCTCTAAAGCACATTTATCATACATCAGCAACCAAGTTTTCAATAAAAACTAGAAAGAAAGATAAATCTTATTACAAACAAGAAAAAATTAAAAATGAATTTTCCAACGTAAACCCTAAACATGGGTAAAATTTACCCGAACGAAATTTTGCTGTCTTCCCTGTCGAAAACGGTCAGGTGAGAAAACAGCTGAGTTATGCCTTCCAATAAAGGAATTAGTTAACTAATTTTGGCCCTAGTATAGTACTGCCAACTCCTCATATTTTCAGAGCGGTAACGTTCGAAAAGTTGGTCTGGGTAAATTTTACCCATGTGTCGGGTTCTAGGGTTAATAAACATTGACAATGAAGTTCATATTAAAATTTTTCTTTAAATGATAAAACTGGTATACAAATTCTTCATTATAAATTAGTAATTTTGACAACTATCTAAGATGTAGACATAAATGCAAGTGCAGTTGTTCTGAAAATTAATTTTGCCACAGTCTATTATGAAAAATGGTCAAACCTTTGAATTTGTGATATTTTACTGTAAATATCTTTTATTAAAGTTTATTAAAGTTTATATTACATATGTTTCTTCTGGTTATTGTTGTTCTAATTGTATAATAATAATTAGAATTAAATAAGTCAGGACTAGAAAGAAAGATTCTAGTGTCATTGGAAAAAATTAAAATTTACATAGAATGTTTGATGTAAACGTGACCAACTGAAAGATGAATGTATAATAGATTGAGTTAAATTCAAAAAAGTGATGTACTCATTTTGTATGTACCAGTGTGAAATTACTTTTTGTACGTACTATTTTGTAAAATTTGCAATAGTAATCGAGTAATACAAAACTTTCTGAACGAATGAGCGTATGAGGAGTGATAGACTGAACTCGACACGCGTGTAAAAGTATTTACTTTCATACATCTTTTACGATCCGATTAGCAAGGGGCAAGCGACGATTGTGAGTCGCTCATTGCTCGCCATTCATTCCCCGTCTATCGCAGTATAGAAATAAACTTTTTGCATGCGTGCCGACTCCGGCCTACAGTTTCAAATGCGTTCGTTCGTTCAAGCGTTTGAATTAATTACTCAGTAACTATTGCGACTTTAACAAAACATGTCACATAAGTTCTACTTCTCAGTTTATTCCAATGTCTCACCATCTATCGGTTATCACTACTAAGGTTTTATCCTGTATAAGGTAAAACATTACTATTGGGATAAGAACAGCGATACAAGAGTAGTGGTATTATGATAAGAACACTGATATAACGCTATAAATGAGATTTTTGTTTATACGTTTGTGAATAAATGTTATTGTACATTTCTTAAAATTAGTACGCAAAGAAAACCAATTTCACATAAAATTAATATTAAGTAGCATAACTTAGTTATTAATATTATATATGAAAGAGACAGTTTTCGTAGCGTTTATAAACATTATGTGCTCACCCTTAATAGTATTATGCATTTATGTATCATCTTCTTGTTGTTTTAGGGGCTAAGTGGCATACACGGCGAAAAATATTAACTCCCACGTTCCATTTTAACATATTGCAAAAATTTGTTGAGATTTTAATCGAAGAAAGTGAGAGCATGACAAAGTCTTTGAAAAAAAAAGGGGGCACAGTGGTAAAAGATTTAATGCCATTCCTTAGTGAACATACGCTTAATGCAATATGCGGTATTATATTTTATTTACAACTATTTACATTTATTGATTATTTTGTCTTGAATAAGATAATAAATAAAAGTGATATAAATTTGTTATAAAATTATTAATGTCCCAACAAATTAAAGTTATTTTTACCATGGTATTTTTGAAATATATGATTATACATTACAATTATATAAATTTTTGTAGAAACTGCCATGGGCATCTCTTTACAAGGAATGGGATCATTTCAGCAACGGTATCGAAACGCAGTTCATCAGATGTGCCAACTTGTAATTTATAGGTAATTTATAAATATAGATAACTGCGATTTATCTGTGAATGGTTTAACAAATAAATTAACATTAAATATCATCTAAGGATAAATAACTGTCGAACATAAAACATCATTCAAATTAACAATCTGGTAGGTTGCACATCATCTGTCAAATTGATTGCATTAAAATAAATTCTATTTACACTTTAAGTGCCAAAAGCAAAGTGACATTAATTGGTGTAACATTAATAGTGACAAAATGATTTCCAAATTAAAATAGCCATTATTATATTTTTTAACGTTACTTTTATAACTTTATAAAGTTAAATTAAAACAAATCAAAATAATAAAATTCAAAGACACGCCACCTTTAATATAAAGATATTTAATTAAGATAAACGTTACGTTAATTAAAGGTCATGCGTATGTTTTAAATATCTTTTTATTTAAATTTTTTACAATTATTACATGCTGTTTTCTGCGATTTCTTAATTAATAATTGGTAATTATATATTATCGTTAAAGGGAAATATTTTTATGATTTAGATTAATGAGGCCTTGGTTGTACCTCAATTGGATATTCTCGTTAACGCCAACAGGTAGAAAGCAACTAAAGGTCTTGAACATATTGCACACATTTACTGAAAAAGTATGTATAAATGATCTGTGCTTTAATAATACTTATGGACATTTTATTTCGTAAATAAGTAAAAATGCTGTAATATTTGGAAAATAATGAAGTAAATTGTAAACGTTGGCAAATACATATGTATATAGTATTTCCACAACCAATAAAAATAAAATTAATGTTGGGTATGAACAGATTATTGCAGAAAGAAAAAGTTATCTTAAACTCACCAATGGGCAATACTTGAAAAACATTAACAATGATGTAGAAGAAGATGATGCCGAAATTAAAGGAAGTATGTAGTGTAATCCAATACTATTTTAAATGTCTTAAGTTCATCTTATATTTAATCGTCATCTCATATTAAAAATTATTGTTGCATTGAAATTGAAATTTTATCACTGTTACATTATGAATCAAAATATGACAAAATCGTGATTTAAATTAATTCAATATTTTTAACGTTAATTGGAATTTTAATTTAACAGATTTTTTGAAAAGTAACACATAAAATTGTACTTTAAAATTAGCATTTACATGCTTATACAATTTAATTTAGCTCGAAAAAAGCGGCTTGCAATGTTGGATCTTTTAATACTGGCGTCTGAAGAGGGTCTTCTAACTGATTCAGATATTAAAGAAGAAGTTGATACATTTGTATTTGAGGTATGTACTTATAAGTTTACTTCTTTTTTTACCGTTGAATTAGATGTATGTCGATATAAGGAATGTGATTCTAGGGTCATGATACTATAGCGACGGCTCTATGTTATGCTTTATCATTATTGGCTGAACACAAGGACATTCAGGTATTTGCCTTAAGTGAGAACATAGTGATTAAAAGAAAATATTAAATAATCCTTTCAACTCAACAAACTATCTACTAAAGGTAGTTATTTAATGGGTAATTATGCATAAAAGGGGCCTCCTCTCCGATTTGCTTTATTTTTAAATATGTTGTTGGGGATGTCTTCCCGAGTCATTTCATATATATGTATATAAGGGCCGGACTCAAATAGTTTCGGAGATACAGGCTGAGAAAGGATACAAATAATAAATATATGGTAATTCTTCAGTATAGCTGCTCCACCTCCAAAATCAATCAAATTGGTCTCATTCGACGCGTTTTTCGACGAGAAACAACTTTTTCCTCAGACAAAATCGTTGCTCTGCCCTGCGAAGCGAGATATTAATTGTTAAATTTGACAACTTTTAGAGTTAGGAAATCTGTCATACCGACGAAATGTAGCGACACAACATGGGTTTTCGACTTTCCACGTGAAGCGAGATCCACTCCACACCTCTGACATAGGGTGGGTAGGGTTATTTTTAACGAAGTGGAGTCCCCCCGAAGGGGGGGCGGAACATACTGTCTCCACGCATACATTTTTCTACCTACATATAAGTCACTCCCCTCCACCAAAAGTAGATGGAAAAATGTATGCGTGAAGACAGTGTGTTCCGCCCCCCCTTTGGGGGGATCTCCACTTCGTTAAAAATAACCCTACCCACCCTATGTCAGAGGTGTGGAGTGGATCTCGCTTCACGTG